AGTTTATTTTTACGTTGAATTTCCTTTTTTGGGTTTGTATCACTCGCACAAATAAGTGCACGCGGTACCATCCCTCCATATTTCATATGATCGTACTGGTATATCCGGATTTATATTATATCCGGATACAGATATTCAAAAAATCGAATTCGGATTAATCCGGATATAAATATATATCCGGATTCAACTACTATCTCTAATCCAAATAGGTTAATATTAATGAAGGTTCTCTGTAATATACAATAACTTTCTTTTGTATTTAAAATAAGATTTATTTAAGCTCAACATCCAAAAATGGATTATCCGTATACGATATATTACCATTACACGATGAACGATCAGTCATAATGGATTTAAACGATTGCAAATAAAATCATCGAAAGTGGATAAACATATAAACAAAAATAATTGATCATTTTTGAATCCAATTTTAATGTTTAGCGCAAGTTAGAGGTCATGATATAAATACTATGCGCTTGACAAATGCCTAAAATTGATTAATAGAATTTAACTTTCTAAATTTACATAAGTCTTTGTCTTTTTTTTTCTTTACGCATCAATCAACATCTATTATGATGAAATATATATATTTTATAATAAATTTATTATTTATTTTTACGTTCCAGAAACATTTAATGGTTCATGCCCAAGAACAATTAGCAAGACTATGGAATATACAAAATGATCAAATGCCAATATATCTAGAAAGAGAGTTAAATTTAATTAAGGTGGATAAAATAGTAGAACGATATCTAGACAATTTAAATTTCGCCGGAACATATATAGATGTGAGAAATAATTTATTAATAATTTATACAGTAAACATTGCTAAGAAGAAAGATATAATTTCTAAACCTGATGTGAGAGAGCATGTTAGGTTTTTAGACTTTAGAAATGCAAGCAAATCCTTGGATAATTTAAAATCCTCGTTTGGAGAATTAGTTATAGCAGCTAAGCAGATTAGACCAAAAGGTATAGAAGGTTTTATTAATCCAAGAATTAATAATATTGCTGTAATAATTACAAGGAGGCCATTTGATCGAGATAATAGGGCTTTTATAGAAATTGCCGTGCGAAATGGTGCGGTTGTATATTTTGGCGATTACAATCCTCCAAGACATACAAAAAGGGGTATAGGCACAAGCAAAATGAGTTTAATGCTATTATCTGGAGATGCAATATATAATGAAGTCGGTCGCTTTAGATGTACGGCGGGTTTTTGGGCAAGAAGTAAAGATAAAAATCAAATATTACTTGTAACAGCTGGACATTGTAATGAAAACAATAATACTAGATCTAAGGAAAAATTTTTTACCGTGAAATATCCAAATCCCGATTCAAATCCCAATTTATTTGTACATGATGAATTAATTGGCAAATTGGTATATTCTTCTTTAGCTCCACACGACGTTGGTTTAATTGATATAAAGAGAATGAGTAAATCCCTTCGACCATCAACGAATATTAGGAATAAACATGCTTCGTTTGCTGAATTAATTGTTACTGATGGTACACCTGTATCTAGTCATGGTGCACATTTATGCAAGGCTGGTTTTAAATCATCAGTTTCATGTGGCCAAATAGACGGGTATAATGGGATTTATATAGATTTAGATGGAAATTATTTGTCGGATATGATCTTTGTAGACAATATATTATCCTTCAGTGGTGAGAGTGGAGGCCCTGTATTTTCTTTTACAAATTTTTCAGATTTAAGATTGGTAACCATAAATGGTATAGTAGTAGCAAATACCGGTAATATTACTCATCCTTTTGCGATGATACTACCTCAAGACAGCATAGCGAACATTCATTGTAATTGGTTAGATTTTGTTGATCATCTCGTGATTTTATTTGCTAATCACCTAATC